TATAGTCCCAGCTACTTGGGAGGCTGAGGCAGGAGGATTACTTGAGCCCAGGAGTTTGAGGTTGCTGTGAGCTAGACTGACAATGCCATGGAACTCTCGCCCGAGTGAGATTCTGTCTCAATAATAATAATGTCACATTTACAAGTATACAGTTAGGACTTCAACATATCTTTTGGGGGGACACAATTCAACTCAAAACAGATAATAAGTGCACAAAAAGATGTTCAACATCATTAGCTATTAGGGAAATGCAAATTAAAGCCACTATGACTATTAAAATGACTAAAATAAAAAAAATACTGACAATACCAAAATAGCCACTCTGGAAAATAGTTTGGCAATTTCTCAACATATATTTACCACATAACCCCTCCTAGGTATTCACTAAGTATTTCTCCTAGAGAAATAAAAACTCATGTCTATATAGAAACCTATACCCGAGAATGTTCATAGTTTTATCTGTAATAGCCCCAAAGTGGAAAAGACCCATTCATAGCATGGGCTACTATTTGGTAATAAAAAGGAACAAATTATTCATACATTCAACAACCTGGATGGATTTTTTTTTTTTTTTTTTTTTTTTTTTTTTTTCTGGCACCCAAGTACTCCTGGCTAATTTTTATATTTATATATACTAACGCTGTCCAGCTAATTCTTTTATTTTAGTAAGAGGCCTCCGTCTTGCCAGGCTGGTCTAAAACTCCTGAGCTCAAACGATCCTCCCACCTCAAGCCTCCCAGAGTACTAGGATTACAGGCGTGAGCCACCACCCCCCGGCCAAGATTTCATCACTATTTTAATTTTTAAATATTTATTTATTTATTTATTTTTTGAGACAGAGTCTCACTCTGTTGCCCAGGCTAGAGTGCCATGGCGTCAGCCTACCTCACAGCAATCTCAAACTCAAGCAATCCTTCAACCTCAGCCTCCCAAGTAGATGGGACTCCAGGCATGCGCCACCATGCCCAGATAATTTTTTATCTATATTTTTAGTTGACCAATTAATTTCTTTCTATTTTTAGTAGAGACAGGGTCTCGCTCTTGCTCAGGACGGTTTCGAACTCCTGATCTTGAGGCAATCTGCCCACCTTGGCTCCCAGAGAGCTAGGATTACAGGCGTGAGCCACCACGCCTGGCCTATTTTATTATTTATTTATTTATTTTCTCCCAGCTGACAAGGCCAGCAATATAGATTTTGTCAGTTTTACATTTTACATGCACTCTGGTTTGTTTGTTTTGTTTTGTTTGTTAGACAGAGTCTCACTCTGTTGCCTGGCTAGATGCCATGGCGTCAGCGCTAGCTCACAGCAACCTCAACCTGAGCTCAAGAATCCTTCTGTCAGCCTCCCAGTAGCTGGGACTACAGGCATGGCCTCCATGCCCGGCTGGTTTTCTAATATATTATGGCCAATTAATTTCTTTCTATTTTTAGTAGAGATGGGGGTCCGCTCCTTGCTCAGGCTGGTTTTGAACTCTGGACCTTGAGCAATCCCCCTCCTCAGCCTTCAAGAGGGCTAGGATTACAGGCGTGAGCCACCGCACCCAGCCCATCAATCTGTAGTCCATCTCTAATTGTGCCATTTCAAGAACATTTTATAAATGAAATCACAGTACAGTAGTCTCCTCTTATCTGAGATTTCACTTTCCATGGTTTTAGTTCCCTGAGGTACAGTACAAGGGGGGGAGAGAGAGAGAGAGAACATTCAAATAACTTTTATTATAGTATAGTTTTACAATCATTGTTGTTTTGTTTTGTTTTGTTTTGAGATAGAGTCTTGCTCTGTTGCCTGGGCTAGAGTGCAGTGGCGTCATCATAGCTCACTGCAAATTCAAACTCCTGGGCTCAAACAATCCTCCTGCCTCAGCCTCCTGAGTAGCTGGGACTACAGACACATGCCACCACGCCAGGCTAATTTTTTCTATTTTTAGTAGAGACAGGGTCTGGTTTTTGCTCAGGCTGGTCTGAACTCCTGAGCTAAAGTGATCCTCACACCTCAGCCTCCCAGAGTGCTAAGATTAAAGGCGTGAGCCAAATCGTTTTATTTTATTAGTTATCTGTTGTTAATCTCTTACTGTGCCTAATTATAAATTAAACTTTATCATGGTATGTATAGGAAAAACATGGCATATATAGCTCAGTACAATCCTCAATTTCAGGCATCCACTGGGTCTTGAAATGTATTTCCACAGATAAGGGGAACTACTGTACATGACTTTTTTTTTTTTTAGATAGAGTCTTGCTCTGTCACCCCAGGTAGAATGCAGTGGGGTCATCATAGCTTAAGCAACCTTAAACTCATGGCCTCAAGCAATCCCTGCCTCAGCCTCCCCAGTAGCTGGGACTGCAGGTGTGTACCACCACACCTGGCTAATTTTCTATTTTTAGTAGAGATGGGGTCACCTCTCCCACACTGGTCTCGAACTCCTGATCTCAAGTAATCCTCCTGCCTCAGCCTCCCAGAGTGCTAGGATTTACAACATGGGTGCCTGGCCATAATATGATTTTTGAGATGCTTTCACTAAAACATATATCAGTCAAGTGGTCGGTGTGGGCATCATCCGCCTGTAAGCAAATCTGGGGACGAGCAGGAAGATCGCTCAAGTCAGATCAAGAGCAACCAGCAAGAGAGACCCGTTCATAAAAAAAAGAAACTGGACAACTAAAAAATATTATAGAAAAATAGCCGGGCAGGTGCACAAGTTCCTGAATCCCAGCACTCGGAGCTGAGCAGGAGGATGCTCACCCAGAGTTGAGGTGCGGGAGCTATTGCAACGCCCACGCACCTACCCAGGCAACAGAACAAGACTCGCCAAAAAAAAAAAAAACCATCCAGGTTGTTGAAGAGAATT